ATAATAATAGCAATAATAATAATACTAATAATAATGACAATAATAATAGCAATACTAATAATACTAATAATACTAATAATAATAATAATAATAATAATAATAATAATAATAATAGCAATTATAATAATAATAACAATAATAATAATAATAATAATAATAATACCAACAGTAATTATAATAATAATAATACTAACAATAACAACAATAATAAATAATAATTTCCCTTAACACAGTAAATAAGCAACTGGATCTCAGTTTACAAAGTGTAGAACAATATAAGAGTTTAAAACTGTAATAAATAATGTAATAAATATTTTACAGATCATGACGGATTTAACTAAACAACTACAGTATACCAGGGTTCAGTGGATGAACCTCTCGCCTCCTGTCTGAGGGTTTGTTTCACGATATTTCTTAATCTATACGGAACCCAAGCAGCCAGGAGGCGTATTCGTTCTTCAAGGCTTATGAGTCCACTCCTGGTTCTCGCACCAACAATTACGTGCAACACACACACACACACGCACACACTACTTACTACTACTTTTCTCTCACTCGGAATCGAGTATGACTATCATCCAGTTATGATACAATGGTATGAGTTATTAAGGATGTCACCTTCATTGGTGATGTTTGAGGTGACTAAAGAGGCAGATACGGGACCGGTAGGGTCGTTCACAGATGTTGCACATGTGGAGGGCTACATTTAGTGCGGGAGGAACAGCGGCACCATGTTTCCGGGGTTGGTGCTTGTCTGCCTCATTATGCAGTCAGGCTAACTCGAAAGTATTGACACCTTCTCGTGTGGTGCTCCTCCAAGCGTTACGGTGTGGAGTAATCGACTCCCAGGTGAGGGGGTCGATTTGGCACTTTTTCAGGTTTGTCTAAAGACTATCCTTATACCTTTTCAGTTGTCCGAAAGCGTTACATTTACTATTCGTAAGGTGACTGTAAAGTAGCTGCTTCGGCAGTCTACTGTACTGTCGTCCATGCGGGTAACATGGCCAGTCCAGCGTAGATGTTCATGGATAATGGTAGCCTCAATGCCCCATCGTTGGTGTCTGCAAGAATACTAGCATTTGTTCTCTTGTCTTCCTAGCGAGCTTGGTGAAAGTTTTCAAGTGCCTTGAGGTGCCTCCTCGATGTGACCCATGTCTCGCTGCCATATAGAAGGGTGGGGAGGACCACTGCTCGATATACGTGTAATTTTGTAGATAATTTCAGCTCCCTACAGCAGAAGACACAGTTTCGGAGTCTGACAAAAGTTTGAGATGCACCTCTGATCCGATGCTGAATCTCTTCATCGATGTCTGCGGTAGTGGACAGGTGGGAGTCGAGATACCGAGGGTAGTACCGTTAAGCTGGATGGATTGTAGACGTGTGGCTGAACCAGTGGCAGGTTGAACGAGAATCAAAGTCTTATGTACATTTTCCTCAAGGCCGAAGTGTGCATACGATCTAATTAGGTGTTCAGGTCGTCTGCATACTGAAGTTCAGTAATGGAAGCTGCCGACACCTTTGTTCCTGCCTGGAGTCGTCTTATGTTGAAAGGACCCTTCATCCGGTACTCGACGTCCATCCCGCCGGCTAAATTAGCACTGGCACGAGTAAGGAAGGCAGCCAAGAAAATAGAAAAGAGAGTTGGTGCCAGTACACACCCTTGTTTAGCCCCCGTTTGGATGGGGAAGAACTCAGACTTGGTGCCATTGTGCAGGACACTGCCGTTCATGCCACCGTGGGGTTGCCTCACAATGGAGATGAATTTTGGTGGGCAGCCAAAACGGCTGAGGGTCCACCAGAGGGCTTCCCTGTTGACCGAGTCGAAGGCCTTGGTTGGGTCGATGAAAGCCAAGTACAGGTCACGACGCTGTTCTCTGCACTTTTCTTGTATCTGGCGGGCAGCAAAGATCATGTCAGTGGTGCCAAGTGATGGTCTAAATCCACATTGAGATTCTGGGAGGAAGTTTTCCACCTCAGGAAGAAGTCTGTTTAGGAGGACTGCGATAATCTTGACAGCTACGGACAGCAGCGAGATCCCGTGGTAGTTGCCACAGTCTGACTGGTCTCCCTTGTTCTTATAAATATTGACAATGGAGGCGTCTTTAAGAGCTTGGGGGAATTCCTCCTTTTCCCCTATATTCTCCAGGAGAGAGTGGAGACGGCTGATAAACAGAGGTCCTCCTGCTTTATACACCTCGGCTTTGTTATTTTTCATGTGTTTCATGGCAGTAGCTACCTCATCCAGGGATGGAAGATAGCTGAGGTGGGTCAGCTCTGGATGCTGAGGGACCTGCAGGGTAATCAGGACACACACGCACACAAATTTACTCTGACAAATTTATACGAAATATAAGAAAATACAAACTCCCTGAATCTGGAGAACTCGGCAGCAACGAGTTAGATAGTCCACAAAAGGAGGCAATTTCAAGCATATCTTCCTGTGGCCCTTGAGAGGTATTCAGGAAACAAGAGAGAGAGAGAGAGAGAGAGAGAGAGAGAGAGAGAGAGAGAGAGATAAGGAAAGAGAACAAGAGAGAAAGAGAGAGGGATAAAGAAAAAGAGACAGATAAAGAGAACAAAAACAGAGACATAGACAGAGGGAGATAAAGAAAGAACAAAAGAGAGAAACAGATAAAGAAATAACAAAAGAGACAGAGAGGAAGAGAGAGATAAAACAAAAAAATAGAGAGACAGACAAAACAAAAGAGAGACAAAGAAAATAAAAGAGATAGATAAAGAAAGAAGACAGGAGAGAGAGACAGAGGGAGAGAAGCTTGACAAATTATAACTGGAGGTAATTCCCGCTATGATTAAACCAGACTCCAACCTCGCATCACTTTTCGCTGTACACAATACGGTTTCCCTTTTAATTAATCACAAATCACTCGACCGAATTTTGTTGGTGACCTGTGACCTGGTGACCCTATTGAGGCGATATGTCCCACATATAGATGACCTGTGACCTCCTGACATGGTCAACTAGTCTGCTGACCACAGTACCAACCGTCAACTAGTCTGCTGACCACAGTACCAACCGTCAACTAGTCTGCTGGCCACAGTACCAACCGTCAATTAGTCAGCTGAACACAGTACCACAACGTAAACTAGTCAGCTGGCCACACACCACACCATCAACTAGTCAGCTGGTCACAGCACCACACCATCAACTAGTCAGCTGGTCACAGCACCACACCATCAACTAGTCAGCTGGTCACAGCACCACACCATCAACTAGTCAGCTGGTCACAGCACCACACCATCAACTAGTCAGCTGGTCACAGCACCACACCATCAACTAGTCAGCTGGTCACAGCACCACACCATCAACTAGTCAGCTGGTCACAGCACCACACCATCAACTAGTCAGCTGGTCACAGCACCACACCATCAACTAGCCAGCTGGTCACAGCACCACACCATCAACTAGTCACAGCACCACACCATCAACTAGCCAGCTGGTCTACAGCACCACACCATCAACTAGTCAGCTGGTCACAGCACCACACCATCAACTAGTCAGCTGGTCACAGCACCACACCATCAACTAGTCAGCTGGTCACAGCACCACACCATCAACTAGTCAGCTGGTCACAGCACCACACCATCAACTAGTCAGCTGGTCACAGCACCACACCATCAACTAGTCAGCTGGTCACAGCACCACACCATCAACTAGTCAGCTGGTCACAGCACCACACCATCAACTAGTCAGCTGGTCACAGCACCACACCATCAACTAGTCAGCTGGTCACAGCACCACACCATCAACTAGTCAGCTGGTCACAGCACCACACCATCAACTAGTCAGCTGGTCACAGCACCACACCATCAACTAGTCAGCTGGTCACAGCACCACACCATCAACTAGCCAGCTGGTCACAGCACCACACCATCAACTAGTCAGCTGGTCACAGCACCACACCATCAACTAGTCAGCTGGTCACAGCACCACACCATCAACTAGTCAGCTGGTCACAGCACCACACCATCAACTAGCCAGCTCGTCCCACATAAAACAGACATAAAAGAGAAGTTTGGCGTCAACTCAGCTGGAAGATTGTCTCCTTCTCCCGGAGTAGCAATGACCTACTCTTAGACACAGGCCAATAAAACATCAAGTATATATCTTCCTAACTCCTCCAGGTCCAATATCGATGTTGTTGTGAGTTGAGTCTTCCAGTTAAAGAGTGTGTGTGTGTCCGCCAGTGTGGAGGAAAATATTACAACAAGGTTTGCTTTTCCTGACTGTGATAAAAGAACTTAAATGCTTCATAGAATATCAATATCTCACTTCACCTCACCTCACCTTACCTCACCTCACCTTAACTAACCTAACCAAACCTATACTTGGGTATAAGATAATTTAACTTATTTCTACCAAGTCCTAACACAATTTCGATGCTATTTGACTAATATAGGTCAGTAAGATATGTTCTCAAGTCGAAAGTTAGAGGAAAATCGTCTTATGCATTAGTGAGGCTCTATCTGGCCCCGAGTTAGATTAATGTCCCCACCCTCCTGTGACATGTCGTAAAATTGAGGTCGATAGTGAGGTGATTTGTAAGCTAAACCCGACCATCGCTCCAGCCATCACGAGTCGATTTTAGGATTCAGTCCTTTTAGTGTAAAGTGGCTTCCTCTAAGAATAATTTGTTAGTTTTTTATTTAAGAAAGAGTTGCCCTTATCTACATCCTCTCCCACCACCTTATGATTAAAATTATGGTAAATGTTATGTTGAATAAGTAAATAATTATGGAATAGAAAAATCTCTAATTGAATTTTCCTGAGGTTAACGAGCGTAAGTCAGCACCTGTTTTAGCCCAGAATACTATTTACCCCAGGAGGATCAGCGTATTCCCCTACCATAACAATGTGTATATTAAGTGTACATCTCTTTTCCCAGGATAGTCGCCGGCACATGATAACAAAGAATATAATTTCTTCCAGGATAGTCAGCGCCAATAACATGAACTTATTAACTTACACATTCCTTCCCCAGGATGGTCGTCGGGGATAACTCAGTGCCCCAACAAGACAGAACTGGACGCCTGCCTGGCCAAGATAGTGCCTCATATGCCCAAAACCGGCTTTCCCGACCAACCAAAACAACTGGCCAACACGTGCAGGTAAAGTAGACCCCGCAGCAACGAGAAAACACCTGTCTATCTGTTTACCTTTCTGTCTGTTTACCTGTCTATCTGTTTACCTGTCTAACTGTTTACCTGTCTGTCTGTTTACCATCTGTTTACCTGTCTGTCTGTTTACCTGTCTATCTGTTTACCTTTCTAATTGTTTACCTGTCTAACTGTTTACCTGTCTGTCTGTTTACCTGTCTAACTGTTTACCTGTCTGTCTGTTTACCTGTCTAACTGTTTACCTGTCTGTCTGTTTACCTGTCTAACTGTTTATCTGTCTATCTGTTTACCTGTCTAACTGTTTACCTGTCTAACTGTTTACCTGTCTGTCTCATTTATGGTTTTACTGAACACATAGATAAAAGACCCAAAGAAGATAGAAAGACTTATAATGATGAAGTGGATAAATTATTGTTATTATAATTATTAATATTTTTTTTTGGGGAGGGAGGGGGGGAGGGGGGAGGTACTGGATACAGCCGGTCCAGATGTAAACAAAAAGACTAGGATGTAAACAATACTTCTCGTAAACAAAACAATACATCCAACTGTTTACTTGAGGTTAAACCCCACAAAACACTTTACTTGGAATAGAGAATTTATTGATCCATTATTGTCTGCCCTTAACTTCTAACTGTTGCCATGTGAGTTGTGTATACTTAAGGGAGACTATCATTGTAATATTGAATTTATGTTTGTGTATTTGTTTGTCCATCTGTTTGTGTGTTTGTTTTGGTTTGTCTGTTTGTGTCTTTGTTTGTCCATCTGTTTGTGTGTTTGTCCATCTGTTTGTGTGTTTGTCCATCTGTTTGTGTGTTTGTCCATCTGTTTGTGTGTTTGTCCATCTGTTTGTGTGTTTGTCCATCTGTTTGTGTGTTTGTCCATCTGTTTGTGTGTTTGTCCATCTGTTTGTGTGTATGTGCTTCAGTATTCTACAGACAGAATCATGAGATGTTTATACTCTAGCTCATCCATAAGTCAACGTAACTCATCCTTAACCTAACCCAACCTAACCTATTCTTAATATAGCCTCACCTTTACATAACCTAACCTAACCCAACCTAACCTATTCTTAATATAGCCTCACCTTTACATAACCTAACCTAACCTATTCTTAATATAGCCTCACCTTTACATAACCTAACCTAACCCAACCTAACCTATTCTTAATATAGCCTCACCTTTACATAACCTAACCTAACCCAACCTAACCTATTCTTAATATAGCCTCACCTTTACATAACCCAACCTAACCTATTCTTAATATAGCCTCACCTTTACATAACCTAACCTAACCCAACGTAGCCAAGGAGGTCCCGGCTCCCAGATGGCGACTCGTTTCACTGTGTCAACAAGCTATAACAGACATCAAAATGGTCGAGGGGAAGGGGAGGGGAGGGGAGAGGTGGGGATGAGAGGAGAGGTGGGGAGAGGGTAGGAGAGGGAGGGGGTGGGAGCGGGGGAGGGAAGGGAAAGGAGGTGGGGAGAGAGGGGTGTGGGAGGGGAGAAGAGGGGAGGAGTCTGAGGCGCCCTTATGACAACTTCTTTTGTCTTCGGCTTGACTCTCTCTTCCATCGACACCCCCCGTTTTCTGTCCCTTCTTGCACACTTTCTTTGGTGACTCTCTCTCTCTTTATCACTTTCTATCTTCATTTTTTCTCAAAACAACACCTGCCTTTCTTTTTTGTACATTTTCTTTAAGGGACTCTCTCTCTCTCTCTCTCTCTCTCTCTCTCTCTCTCTCTCTCTCTCTCTCTGTATAATATATAATGCCTCAAGCTTACGCTCTCACTTCCGATACTTTCAATCTTCATATGTCTTTCACAATTTCCTCTACACAGTATTCCACTTATCTTAGTTTTTCCTTATTAATCAATCCATCTTTCACTGTGTCTCGTCTCCTACGGATCGTTCGCTACTCAAGAGTAATTGCATCAAGAAACTCAAAGCGCTTCCATCCACCAAGTTAAGATTTATAGTCGAGAAGTTTAGTAATGAGTTCCTCGGGGTATCTTTGTTGCAGCTGGAGGTATTTTCTGGGGGTACTAAAATCCCATAAAGCTCTCTCTGTCTCTCTCTCCACAAACATAGATTTTTTTTTTTAGATTGCCCCCGAGGGAGCTAGTTTATTGGGCAAGGTGAAGCGCAGAAGCTTTTACAGCGCCCATCTGGGAAGCATGCGTAGTTCATGCTTGCCTTTATGACTCATGCATTAAGGACGTAAAAGCCTGAAGGGTCATGGGTTTTGTCAGCAAGTTACATAAAGTGACAGAATGATGAGTGTGTGGGGGGAAAAATTCCCGGTACAATTTATCTGTTTATGGCAAAGTGTGGCAGGTCCTAATAATGTCAAGTGCCAGGCCTGTCTCTAGGAGGGGGGTATCTGGTCAGGGAGGGAAGAGGTGTTGGTAACGGCTGGGGACCTGTAGGAGGAGGTCATAGGGCAAGTGAGGATGTAGTGAGAGGGTGTGGTGTCCTCAGGTCCAATAGGTAGCCCTGGTGGAGACAGCTCAGACACAGGAGTGGGCGCGGCTTGCGGTGGGTGGAGGACAGGTTGAGGCACCACGTGTCGTGAAGATGAGGCAGGACTTCGCTCGGGGGCAGGACACACCAGAGCAGGCCCGGTAGGTGCTACACCAGTAGTGATGGCAGACGGCGGTGGAGTAGGTCGTGAGCAGGGGGGGCTCACAGGGGGACTACCAGTTTGTGTCAAACCAGAAGAGAGGAGTGACTGGGTAGCAACAGATGGCAAGATTAGGTCGGAGATGGTGATACAGAGTGTAGTGAAGAGTTTTTCAATACGGTTGGTAAATTCTTGGAAGAGGGATATGATCTGTGTCATGTCACTGGAGGGAGGTTGTGGAGTTACTGCACCACGAGGCCTATGTGACCTCACACAGTATGGCAAGAGACCAGCCCGGACCATCAGCTGCAAACTATAATAATTTGTATGTTCAGTTCATGTTCCTTCTCCTTTCAGTAATGAAAGCTTTTGTTAAACGACCCACCCACCCAATGTCTTTGTATGTAACAAGTAATTTTTGTCTAATGTATATTTTCAGCCTTCGGGCTACAGAACTTTTTCAATAACCCGTTAATTATTATTATTATTATTATTATTATTATTATTTTTATTATTATTATTATTACACACTACATATTGGCAGACCTTTACCAATAATAATAATAATAATAATAATAATAATAATAATAATAATAATAATAATAAAACTCTTAGGATGCATTTGTTTACAGGTTTGATATTATGATTAAAATAATGATTATTTACAACACCATCACTCTGTATCATCAGTATCCTCACTAATGCTTAACTATTACCCGGTGTGTACAGAACGTTCAAGGGTGGGATGCGGTGTGTGGACGGGTACACCGCTCAGTGTATGTCCCAAGTAGAGCGGGCTGGTCTGGAGGAAAACCTGAAGGGCGCGCGCTACACCCTAGCTTTCCTCTGTGACGACCCTATCTTCCAGCGAGGTGAGTTGCTCTTCATGGATACAATGCTTCTTCCAGCTTGGTAAACGTCTCTTTCATAGTTGCCTGTGCCTACCCCAGCTAGTTTAACGTCGCTGTCAGGGAGATAACTGAACCCTTAAGACAAGAAAAGTTATGTTATCAGTTTACTCGGTACTGACAGAGCTTCCCTTAAGGTCGATGAACTTTACAAGAGGTTCATTGCCCCTATTCCATCCATTGGTGCTACAGATAAAGTGACTCTCTCCAACTCTTGTCTTAAATGGGGTTTATCTTTATCAACATATTTTAACAGGTCACTGACACCAAAAGCTAGGTTGTGTCCCTTTTAACTAGGTGTGTGGTCCTCTGATGGATGTTTCAGCCGCTTGGAGACGTGAGATACCTTCGGGATTAACTTCCATAGATGTCAACGTTCTTGCTGTGTGCATTTGTGAACAAGAGGTTATGTCATCACCCAAATGAGGGAGAGCTGGACTGAACATACAAGATTACAACATTACTAAACCTTCCACATATCTCCCAATTCCATATATCTTAGACTCCTCGACCACACCCACAATGGCTGGTGTTGGTGGGCGGCCAAGACACATCCCGCCGCCAGGAAGACGAAGGACGTAGACGACATACATTACTAACGAGTCGGTGATAAATGACCCCCCCGGGATATAACCTAGATCGGCCATCCGTCCTCCAGACTCATACACACACAAAAAAAATATTGGCTGTTTGTCCTTATCGCTCTGGCCAACCCGATGGGACATTTTCTTGTTATAAATGACGACAGCGAAGATGATATTTTTAAACCCGACAGATATCACGAGATAGGGCCTACGACATACGACCAATGGAACCCTTGCTAGCCATATACTTCTCTTGTTTTAATATATGACTTACCAACCTCTTGTTTAACTTTATATTGGTTTATAATCCACAGTTTGGGTTTAACTTTCGGATATTGAACAAAAGATGGACTGTAAACGAATCTTATAACAAATATGTGTTATAGTATATAGTTCTTGGCAGAGTTTGAGTTAATTAGTTAGAGATAACTGAAGCGTCTTCTTCTCTGAGTGTTAGTTGTTATCTTTGTTGATAAGAACTTTATAACTCCGTATAATGAAACAACAGATGACTAATTCAAGCATCAACACACACACACACGCACCCCCTACACACACAACTCCGTACACATACACACACACACACGCACCCCCTACACACACAACTCCGTACACACACACACACTCCCACCCCACCACACACCCCCTCCACCCCCACCACACACCCCTCCACCCCCACCACACCCCTCCACCCCCACACACACACCCCCACCCCACCACACACCCCACCACCCCTCCACCCCACCACACACCCTCCACCCACCCACACTCCTCCCACCCCCCATCCCCCCAAACACCCTCCACCCCCCCAACCTCCACCCACCCCTCCACCCCCTCCCACCCACCCTCCACCCCCACCACACACCCTCCACCCCCTCACACACCCCTCCACCCCACCACCCACCCCTCCACCCCACCACACACCCTCCACCCCACACACACCTCCACCCCACCACAGAACCAAATACGCAATGTGCTTGAATACCTCTCACGTAAATGTGAATAACAAAGTGTGAGGCCAGACATACTGCCTCACACGCCTGTACTCACGCATTTGTGAATAAGTTACCCTTTATGTATAGAACTAAACAAATAATGTAAATGAAATACTGTGTAACTTTCAGTGCCATAATATCCTGACAACGGGGGTTAATTATTATGACCCTTTGTAAACCCTACTCTGTAATCCTTTTGCGCTACCGCTCACAGGATGAGTGTGGGGTGCACAATAAAGTAGCCGCTGCAAGCGGCAAAATCAATCCCCTCCACCCCCCCACATACCCCTTCACCCCCTCACACACACACACACCCCTCCACCTTTCCCCCACACACCCCTCCACCTTTCCCCCACACACCCCTCCACCTTCCTCCCACACACCCCTCCACCCCCACCAATTCCCTACCTGTAGTAATAAATTAAACACCCGTAGAAGTAAAAGTCACCAATTAAAAAAAAAATAGAAAAAAAAATCATAATATAAGACTAACGTAGATATATAAGGACAAGTGAGACGGTAAACAGGATATAGCTCAGGATATAGGCGTGTTATATGACAGGGATAGATTCCATATCTCAGGATATAGGCGTGTTATGAGGCAGGGATAGATTCTATATAACTCAGGATATAGGCGTTTTATAAGACAGGGATAGATTCTATATAACTCAGGATATAGGCGTGTTATATGACAGGGATAGATTCCATATAACTCAGGATATAGGCGTGTTATGAGACAGGGATAGATTCTATATAACTCAGGATATAGGCGTGTTATGACAGGGATAGATTCCATATAACTCAGGATATAGGCGTGTTATGAGACAGGGATAGATTCCATATAACTCAGGATATAGGCGTGTTATGAGACAGGGATAGATTCTATATAACTCAGGATATAGGCGTGTTATAAAGACAGGGATAGATTCATAACTCAGGATATAGGCGTGTTATGATATAGATTCTATCAGGATATAGGCGTGTTATGACAGGGATAGATTCCATAACTCAGATATATAGGTGTGTTATGACAGGGATAGATTCATATAACTCAGGATATATGACAGGATAGATTCATATAACCAGTATATAGGTATGAGACAGGGATAGATTCTATACAACTCAGGATATAGGCGTGTTATATGACAGGGATAGATGCTATATAAGGGAAAGCCAATTGACACCCCAGGATAGAAGGATAGGAAGATGGATAAGGAGTTAAAGGAAAGTATTTTACATAAGAGAGTATTTACAGAGAGGACTCTTGCCTAGGTGGTGTCAGTCCCTTGTACTCCGGTGACTTATAATCTCGATTTAATATTAAACTTCCAGGAAAATGAAACATGACTGGAGTTGTGGATACTAGATATTTATTTTGAGAGGTCGGAGTTGGGAGGTACTTATGTAAATCAATCTGTGTGTGTGTGTGTGTGTGTGTGTGTGTGTGTGTGTGTGTGTGTGTGTGTGTGTGTGTTGTTGTGTGTGTGTGTGTGTGTGTGTGTGTGTGTGTGTGTTGTTGTGTGTGTGTGTGTGTGTGTGTGTGTGTGTGTGTGTGTGTGTGTGTGTGTGTGTGTGTGTGTGTGTTGTGTGTGTGTGTGTGTGTGTGTGTGTGTTTGTGTTTGTTTGTTTGTGTGGTGTCTCCCCACTCTTATAGCCCCAAGAGAGCCTCAACATCCCACTCGTTATAACCCCAAGAGCCTCAACATCCCACCCCAAGAGCCTCAACATCCCTCGTTATAACCCCAAGAGCCTCAACATCCCACTCGTTATACTCCAAGAGCCTCAACATCCCATCCTCGTTATAACCCCAAGAGCCTCAATCCCTCGTTATACCCCTCAACATCTCGTTATACTCAAGAGCCTCAACATCCCACTCGTTATACCCCAAGGCCTCATCCCCTCGTTATGCTCCAAGAGCCTCAACATCCGTTATAACCCTCAACATCCCTCCAAGAGCCTCAACATCCCACTCGTTATACTCCAAGAGCCTCAACATCCCTCGTTATACGAGCCTCAACATCCCTCGTTATACTCCAAGCCTCAACATCCCCTCGTTATACCCAAGAGCCTCAACATCCCACTCGTTATAACCCCAAGAGCCTCAACATCCCACTCGTTATACTCCAAGAGCCTCAACATCCCACTCGTTATAACCCCAAGAGCCTCAACATCCCACTCGTTATAACCCCAAGAGCCTCAACATCCCACTCGTTATACTCCAAGAGCCTCAACATCCCACTCGTTATAACCCCAAGAGCCTCAACATCCCACTCGTTATACTCCAAGAGCCTCAACATCCCACTCGTTATAACCCCAAGAGCCTTAGATCTCCTTCAGCCTTTGACATCTAATGGACTCAGTGGGCAGAGGACCTCCCTGGTGGCCATCTTAGTTATTATTGATCCTCCCTCGGCTTCTGTGTGATCCTTCCTCGGCTTCTGTGTGATCCTTCCTCGGCTTCTGTGTGATCTACCCTTGGCTTCTGTGAACGTCGACAACCTCTGCCTAATTGATCGATTGATGGTCTACGACTCGACATGTTGTATCAAATGCTCTCTCAAATTCAAAGGAGCTTTACCCACCCGCTTACATTTCTCACATATACATAGGCTTTCTCACTTTAGTATGGCACATTCCTATACAGTACAAGTTGTATGCTGTATCTTTCTGTAGGTCTGTATTTGCTGTATCATTCTGTATGACTGTATTTGCTGTATCTTTCTGATGGACTGTATTTGCTGTATCATCTTTACATTTGTGGTCAAATGTATGATTTCCCACAGAATACATGTTCAACTTATACCGAGATTGACTTGCATTATCCATATTGAGTTTTCGCAGTTTTCAGGTTAGGTTAGGTTGAAGTGAGGTGAGGTTAGTTTAAGCAGTTTTCCGGTTCACACAATAATGCTGTAACTGACTTCAGAACCAAGTACCTAAACTATTAATAAACAATGTCTTTAAATGTACGTACTGTACTGGCAATTACCCGGAGGACCCAAGCTTATTAAAAGAGATTACTGTATACACTAAATAAAAGAAAGTCCTATCACTTGAAACATCAAAACAGAAGAGGTAGGTGCCGTAGTCTTGAGTCAGGGCTTGGCTACACACACATACACTACAATCCTGGGGGAATCGTCAGGAAAAACACTTATCTAAATACTCAAACACAAATAACAAACATAGAAACTTAATGTCTTCAGTAAGTCATAAAATTTCACAAGAATGCACCAGATTTTATCGTTTTATTATTTGTTTCTCAAGTGTTGTGTTGTACTGTACAGTCCTCCTTCACTTGTGCGTTTACAGGGGCTCGTCAGGTTGTGTGTAGTGTGGTAACCCTGTGTTTGTTTATATTCGACAGAAGGAAACTCACACTAGT